AAAAAAATCACTTCGTATTTTTAAGATAAAACTCTTTTCAGACGCATCTCATAAATAGCTGAAGCCTAACAAATGTCATTTGGAAAATTGCCTTTCTTTCTAGGCTAGCCGTGGTCCCAGGCAAAGCAGAAGCTGATTTTCTTGGGCAGGTACATTGCCTTTCCTAAGAATCTATGACATCTGGTTTCTTTACATTCCCTCTCTTTATATTGTCGAGTTGCGAAAGCAATTTGGAATTTATAGGAGGCTGACCTGCTTCGTTAGGTTAAAGGGTTATGGTCTCCGTTCTAGCTTGACAGACACACAGACCCATCGGGCTGAGATGCTCTTGTCCTCGATGACCTGAGCTGAACGGCGTCGAGACTCACACGCTGGAGCGATCCACTGAAATGACTGCCACCAGGGTTTCACGTTCTGATCCTTCAACCCTGAAAGGCAGTTTTGGCCATGTTGCTAAGCTGCAGACCCTGTGAGTGTCCTGCAAGCTGAGACAGCATATTAACCAGACCGCAAACCAGGCTAGAGTTTCTATGGGAACTGACATGTAAATTCTTCTGAACATGGCTTTTTATTTTCCCATGATGTAAACGGACAGGGATCAGGTTGTGTTGTTATATAAATAGTCGTGTTCTTCTAGGAATATCATCGTGAGCAATCTGACTCCTCTCTGCCTCTGGTGCTGGGGTCAGAAGAAGAACCATGAAAAACTCATTGATTCAACCAACATTTATTGAGGCGTTATTATGGCACTTGCCATTATCTATAGTTAATTTCTAGAAAAGTTGGTGAAGAAGATGTTGTTCCCAGGAGAGTTTACATGGTTTGCTGAAGGTCACAGAGCTTCAGGTCTGTATAACCTGTATTGCTCCAAGTTCAGAGTTCTTTCCCCGGCTTCACAACTGAAATAGAGTGATCGCTTAGAAAAGAGATACTGCCTGTGTTCAGGTTGCGGAGGTGGTGTTACCTTGACATACAAGAAACAGGCGAAATGGGATGTGTCTCCCTAAACTTCTTGAAAAACTTGATTTTTTAGAGCAGTTTTAGGGGCACAGCAAAATCGAGAGGGAAATACAGAGATTTCCCACATACCCCTGCCACCCACGCATAGCTTCCCTCGTTATCGACATCCTCCACGAGAAGGGCACATTTGTTACAGTGGATGAACCCACGTGACACATTACCGTCACCCACAGTCCATAGTATACATTAAGGTTCGCTCTCGGTGTTATACATTTTATGGGTTTGGACCGATGTCTCCGTTACAGTATCATACAGAGTATTCTCGCTGCCCTAAAAATCCTCTTGTACTCCATCTATTCATCTCTCTCCCCCTGCCCCGCGCCTGGCAACTGCCGCTCTTTTCATTGTCTTCGTAGTTTTGCTTTTCCAGAATGTCATATAGTTGGTACCATACAGTAAGTAGCCTTTTCAGATTGGCTTCTTTCGCTTAGTAACATGTGCATTTAAGGTCCCCCCCCACCCCCGTCTTTTTATGTCTTGATAGCTCATTTATTTTTAGCACTGAATAATATTCTACTGTCTGGCTGTATTGTGGTTTATTCATCCATTCACCCACTAAGGACATCCTGGTAACTTCCAAGTTTGGGTAATTATGAATAAAGCTGAAAAGGGACCAATTTCCAAATCCTGAACTCCTTTTAGTACTATTTCTTAAAAACTATTCCCCTGAGAATTTACCCCGTTTGCCTTTCCCACCTCCCTTTTCCAGTCTCTCAAAAGGAAAGCGTACTTTTCAAAGGTCACAGATCTTATTATGCTACTTCGACCCAGGATATAAAAACCGTTGGTGCTAAACGAAGCAACAAGTTCAAATATTGCTATCCAGGAACCTTCTTGAACTCAAGGCTCTATAACCTATCCCTTCTCCATCCATCCGTCTCACCAAGAGATGCATTGCCAATAAAATTTTATATTTTGTGTTTAATAATAAGCAAAATACATAATATTTTCATATTATTTTTATCTCGCGTATACATAATAATTTCAATGATAACTCAATACAGAAGACTTTTTATACTTGGCGCCTTATGCTCAAAAGGAAATAAAAAGAATTCAGTTTCTAGTCAGTTCTTTTCCTATTGCAGAGAAATTCAATATGGTGATCGATAGAAAAGTTTCAAGCAAAAATATATATTGTGATAGAATACAATTCTGCGGAGAATGCAATGGCCATTTGATTTCAAAGAAAAAAGGTAGAATGTAAATTTTTTGAAAATTAAAGAAAAGTTTACACTTTTGTTGTGTTTTGTGTTTCATGTTTGTTGGTGAATCTAATGAAAATCTTTAAAAGTATAATATAACGGTTTCCTTCTTATCAGTTGGTATGTGTAGCACGCTAGAAATAATACCTTTTGCAACTATTTAAACGTGCTGAAAAAACATAGATGTCAACCTAAAAATGTGTGAGGGAGTACATAGCTTCTCAAAATTCTTTTAGGGGTTATGTGAAAAAACCGGAAGCCTCCATTCCTACTGGTTGGTTGTACAAAGTGTCTAGGATGATGCTCGATTAATCTAGCTGTTCTCTGACGAACTGAGTTTGGATTTCCACCCTCTTTCTTATTTGGTCTTTGGCCCAGGGCATGTTTTCCTTTGTATTTTAGCTCTACTGTCTATGTAAAGGAAAACACAGATGACTGCGAAATATCTTTTGGAAGGCAGACAAGCACGATTGCACCTAATGTCAGTAATGTCAACGGAAAAGGTCATAGTGATGAAAATATAGGTATAGACTCTGTAAATCAAGGCATATAGGAGATGTTTAATAAATGCTTGTTAAATTACTGAATGAATGCTATGAGGAACCTGCTAGAATGAAGGATCCCATACCTACTCACTGGGCACCTTTCCTCAGTACTTGCGTTGGTGCTTTAAAAGCCCATTTCGGGCATTTTCTCATAAAGAGGGTAGGAAATAAAGATAAAATAAGATGAAGATAAAAAGAGCCGGAAATAAAATTCTTCCCTGGGATGCGGCTATTAATCAGAGAGTGTTTCCTCGCTGGATTCTTTTTCTAATCCTATGATATAGTGTAGTGGTTAAGAGCAGTATCTCTAGAAACAGCCAGGCCAGAGTCAAGTTCAAGCACTGCGCCCTAACTAGCTGTGTGTCCTTGAGTAAGTCACTTAACCTCTCTTAGACTCAGCTACTTCATCTTTAAATTGGTCTGATAATAATCGTAAGCTCGTAGGACTGTTTCAGGATTGGGAGGTGGGTTACAGGATTATAGGTTGTGTGGAACGTTGAAGAATGTTCTCCCCAAAGATGCCATGCCCTAATCCCCGGAACCTGTGAAGATGTTGCCTCACATGGCAAAAGAGATTTTGCAGATGAGATTAAGTTAAAGAGGCGAGATGGGGAGATTTTTCCGGGGTTATTCAGTGGGTCCTTGTAAGCGAAAGGGGGAGGCAGGAGTCAGCGGCAGAGCCACGCAGTTGGAGAGACTTGATCAGCCGTTCCTGGCTTGGAAGGTGGGCCAAGGGGAGCCACGAGCCAAGGATGCCGACCGCTTTTAGAAGCTGGAAAAGGGAAGGAAATAGATTCTCTCCTAGAGACTTCAGAAAGCAACCCAACCCTTGTGACATCTTGGTTTGGGGCCCGTGAGGTCCAGTGCTGATCTCTGACTCCCAGAACTGTAAAATAATACATTTGTGTTGTTTTAAATCATCGACTTTGCGCTAAGTTGTCACAGCAGCAATAGGACACTAATGCACGTGAGTTAGCCATAACTACTCAGAACCCTTTCAGTTCTGGGTATTCCTCACAGGACAATGTCATCTTAGACCCTTCTCCCAAATCAAAACGGGTCTCTGTGGCCACGTACGCACTATTTTCTAGGTGCTGTTAACCTCGAGGCAGCCCGGTTCTGCCACGGACGACAGACAAGACGCCTCCTAGTTTGGCTGCAAGACCATCGATAACGTGTCTGCGGTTTTCTACGTACACATGGAAAATCCCGTGCTTTCATCAAGCGCCCATGCAGTCGATGAGTTGCGTCTCGACCACCACGCTCTGAGGTCCTACTCGGGGAAAAAGGAAAGCCCTAATGGAGGCCTCTTTTCTTTTCAGGGGGCTGTGAGCTTAACATCGAGGTCTTAGAGTGGGAGTCACCCCTGCGGATGGCGGGCCCGAGGGAGCGGGAGCGCTGGGACCGGGAGAAACGGGAAAGGGAAGAGGAAAAGGCGTTGACTTCCCAGAGGGAGGCTGGAGGGGAAAAGAATCAAGAATCCGGGCACACAATGGGAAGTGCGAGATGGCCTCCCACGACCTCCTCCCGGGCTGCGGCGGCAGTTTCCGGAAATTTCCGCGTACACGCCCGCGGGGCGCACCTGCCCCCCAGAGCGGGGCCCGCGGGACAGCCCGGGGCCGGCGGGCGATGCGGTCCTGGCAGCGCGGCGCCCCGGCGGGGTGGTCGGGAGAGCGCAGGGAGGAGTCACGGGCCGTGAAACGGGAAGACTACATCTCCCAGGCCGCCACGCTTTCCAGTTGGAGTCCTAGGGCGCCGACTGCTCCCCAGTTTCCGTAGGGAAGCGCCCGGGCCACCGCGGCTTTGTGCGTCGCGCTCTCGCCCTCCTCCCGCCGCCCGGGTGTCTATGGAGGAAGGCGACGTCCCATTGCCGCCTCGGCTTAACCCCTCCGGAGCCTAACAGGACGGCGGGCCCGGCTCCCGGGGACCAGGAAGAACTCTTGGGAGCTGGGGGGGACTCCGGTAACAAAACCCCAGGGTGCCAGGAGGGCGTGAAGAAGGAGCCCGAGGGCGCGGGCTGGGGCGGGGCAGAGGCGCGGGCTGCAGAAGGGGGAGGGGACAGCGCAGTCAGGGTGGCCCGCGAGCCGGGCGGAGGAAATCTGGCAGCTCGGGAGCAGGGAGCCAGCAGCGCGGAGAGGCGGCTCCCATCCCGGCGCTCGCCCCCGCCTCCATCCTGGGCGGGCCCAAGTGTCACGTTTGCAATCGCTCAGCGAGGATCCGGCCGGTCTCCGGAGGCGCGCCGGGCGCTAGGCGGCGCCCGGCGAGGATCCGACTGCCGTAGTTAGCTCGCCGGGTCACCTGCAGCCGGCGCCCGGCCGCCCGTTTCCGGTACGGACCAGCCTGCTCGCCCCGGGATCCCATCAGAACAGGTACCCGTCCTCCGGAGGGAGGGAGGCTCGCGCGCTCCGCGCCGCCGTCACCTCCTCCCCGTCCTGTGCCACTGATGCTCTTGGTCGTTGTGTCTTTCCTTTCCCCTTCCGCCCCCGCCATCAGCGCCATGGGCCATCCCCCTCTGGAATTCAGCGACTGCTACCTGGACAGCCCCAATTTCCGCGAGAGGCTCAAGTGTTACGAGCAGGAGCTGGAGAGGACCAATAAATTCATCAAAGACGTCATCAAGGACGGCAACGCGCTGATCAGCGCGATGAGAAGTAAGTGGAAGGCTGCGACGGGCTGCCGCCGCCGCCGCCGCGACCCCGTGGCCCAGGCCTGTGAGCTCCCCCGCACCGCAGGGGGACGGGAGGGTTTGGAACTTCGGGCTTGTCGGGTCAGTGGCCTTGACCTTGTAAGACAGGATCTGTGGCTGTGCCAGGGACGTTTTGCGCTGCGACCATCCTCGGCTCGTTGTCCCAGAAGGGCAGTCTGCCTGTACTGTCAGATGTGTTTAGCGCCCATGTCTGTCGCACCTCCTAAGGAACTGGGAATTAAGGCCAGCAGCTGGAGGAGTGGTTTCGTCCTGGCCTCCTGTTGCTACAGAGAAGCGTGGGGACAGTAGAACATTCCCCACAGCCAGCTACTTTCAAGGAGAGCATCTTTGTCCCAGTGATTTTTTTCCCTTTCAGTTACGGAGCTATGGGTTTGGTGAAGGTCAGCCTAAGCTCGGAATCATTGGATGGTCTCACATGCTACTGAATTCTGCTTGAGAGTGGAACAAAGCCCTGCCTTCTCCCTGGCACAGGGTTCCCGGCCCCCGGGGAGCAAATCACAGGGCCAGGGTTGGGAGCCACCCGCCTGAAGGAACCTCACCTAGCTTGGCTTTCCCAGTGCTCACAGCTGACAGCTGTGGGACTCTCCCCCGCTTCTCTGTGTGTGGACTTTTTCTTTCTGCTAGTTGGCAGAAGGCTGCGAGTAAGAGAAAGAATAATAAACATCTCCAACGAGAGTGCAGGCAAACCAGCCCTCTCTGCCAAAGTATATACCCAGAAGGATGGACTATAGTGATTGAGCGGGGCGATAATTAAGTTTTTCTTTTCTTGGCTGAAAGATGATTGTGAAATATAAAGTCAGACTCGCTGGCAAATATGTCCCGTTTGCTCGTAACTTTGTTCTGAGTGGATTTATCCCAAAAGTACTGCGCCTGGGTCTGGTGTGTGGCTGCAGCCAATCAAGAGCGGGGAGACAGACCGGCTTGAGACCCTCAGCGCAATGG